CGCCTTCAAATGTATGTTTGTTCTTGACCCACGAACGAAATATAAATTTATTGCAGACAAGAATTCGAGGAGAATGAAGAAAAAGTCTTGAGAGAAATGAAGGGTAACGGCGGACCACCAAAAGAAGACTCTCTCACAGTACAAATGAAGAACAACGGTGGTCTATTGACCAAAAAATACTCCAAGCCACTCATATTACGACACGAGTCTTTACCCGCTGCGGCCGGCTTGAGTGCAAGTAAGTTTGATTTCGGGCTGTGATGATAAAATTCGCAAGATTTTATCTTTCAATTGAATCCGAGTTTCTTTATTATAAGACTAGATTGACTTGTTAGAACGATTCGCAAGCGGCTGTACAAATGCATTCAACACTTGAAATGAAGCAAACATTGACTCAAACCTGATCATATGATCAATTTTCTTCCTAACAATTTGCCTTTTGTACAGTGCGAGCAGCGGTTCAAACTGAGACAAAGAGTGTGCAGGCCGGTCCTTCGATTGTAACTGGTCAAATCCAAGTTCATGTTGATGAAGAGTGAGTTGGCTTGTGCTTTAGTGTACATAACTTAGAAAGCGGATGACGTTGTTAGAAATATTATCAGAGGGGTGGTATCAGAGAGGTCATGCGCGAGACGTGAACCAGCAAATCCCATGACTTGTGCATATGCGCTAGCATAGAGTGCAGAATATATACGAGGTGATATAATAGGATGTTGCTTGAGCTTAAATTTGAGATCGGTTTCGACGATATAAACGAGATAAAAACCGCAAATGGTCGGAGCGTTCTGCATTTATTACAGTTTGATGAGGAAAATCTGTTCATACAGTCTAACATGCCATGGTAGTATATCTGCCTCATACACAAAGGGTCCAGATGATAGATATCCCACATTCAATATACTCTCAAGTTTGATATACCCAACTTTCTTCGTGCGCACCTGAATCATAGTTGATATTATGTAGTAAAGTTTCATGTAATTGTAATACAGTTTCTTAGAGGCACACTCAAGGAACAAAAATATGCACCAGGTAATATCGAAAACCAACTGAAAATCCGGACATAGTAACCGTACAAATAGCTGCTTGAGTAAAAGATACTCAGCTTATTCTATTTCATTACCTTGAGACACACACACACGCACGCACACTATACATATATATATATATATATACATACAAGTGTACACACACACACACGCACACTATACATATA